AGCATGTTCTTCCCCCTATTTCTCCTGGGGCTCTGAAGAGCTCTTTGAAATGTATTTAGTATATTTCTGTCTGGGTTTGGCTGGTCTCTCAATTTATGAGGTCATTTAATTCAAGTTCAATTATTCAGCACAAATTGGCAGAATGAAATGCTAAAAGAAGATTGGCACTTTCAATCACATAAATCTCGTGTTACATAAAGTGAGCAAATTCCTCCATTGTGCTTATTGACCTCTGAGATAACAATTTACCGCTGGCACAGCCCAGTGTGGGCAGGCTTCCCCTTAGCAGGCTGTCCTAGGAGTGAGGCTCTGACATCTTCACTACAGTAACAGAAACCAAAGATAAGGAAAGAAAATGACCAGTGATCAGGACCATCTGTGTGATGACTGAGCTGAAGTAAGGCTAACGACAGAACAAAGAGCAAGCTGTTTTTCCTCTAATGCCACATGCAGTCTGAGAAAATCACGAGCAGCTATAGTTTCATACCCTTCCTAAATTGCTAGGTTGATGGGGAAAAAGTTCACAGCTTTACAGGCATGGAATTCTGGCATCAGGGAAGAGAGAATTCAGGGAGCTCCCCCAGCAAATCCCATGGCAGCAAGAAGAATATGGGGTTCACATCCTGACTTTGAGGGCCGAGTTGGTGGGTGGTCTCAGCTCCCATTAGCCTCCCAAACCGTATTGCTTGAAGTCAAGTCCATTTTAATACTTAAAAATGACCATGTTGCTTAAAGGAACCTGCATAATATCAAAATGGACCCATTTACTTGCTTAAGGCCATCATTGTCCAAAAAATTTAGTTTGATAACCAAAAGGTGAAAATTTCACTGTGTTTTCCAGAAGAGCTGGGGGTAGGGGGAACAATCCACAAAATGGAATCATGCCAAGGGTCCCACAGGGACACACAGGGATGAAGGATACTTGATTTGCAGGCACATGAAGCTGTGGCTTCTGAGCTCCGTCAGTCCCACCAGAAAAACCACATTAAAAATACTGTTTAGTCAACATCATCCTCTTTTCCTTTTCAAACCCCACGCCACTTTAGTGTGGCATCTCTTGCTATATGCTAGTCTATACAGAATGTATGGCATGCTAATTTATGTAGAACTATTTGTGCCTATGTACCATTTCCCTCATGATTAAATTTCCCCGGGGCAAAATCCACATCTGAGTTACATCTTTTCACCTATAGTATAAAAGGTCATGATTATAAAAATATATATAATAAATATTCATCACTGGTTGAATAAGTTTTTAAAATATCAACAAATTTCAATGTGCAAAAGACAAGCAAACAGATAAAAGGATGATTTCAAAGTGCTGAATGAATTAAAGACAATTTAAACATCATGCATTTTTCAAATGAAAAATGTATCGCCCAAGGCTTTTTTTAAACTATATTGAATACTACAGGAATTTAAAAGAGAAAACATAATCGGAAAACCAAACTAGAAATTAGTAATCACATCTAATGATAAACTGTTTCCTTACAACACACTCACACAAAATACGAGTCAGCAGTTATCAGTCAAAATGAAACAAAAAATCTGCTCAAATATGAAACATGATAAGTTGAAAGCTTTTTTAAAAATAAACAAATTACATTTTTGAATATTGTGTGTTGATACAGATACAATCAGCCGAAAATCTTTAGAAGCCAAGCTCACTACCAAGTGGGGCGCCTGTACAGAAATTTCATGTCACTGGTCCCCAACAGTTGTTAAGGAAGAATACATTCAGAATTCAACAGTGATAAACCCTCTGTTCCTCAAGTTTCTAAATCATAGCTCATTGTAACTCTTCCAAAATTAAGATTTATACCAACCTTTGATAAGGAGAATACACTTTCTTTAGGCCAGGTAAAGAAGAATGATCAGAAAAAGAATAGCTGACATGCACCACAGATACAAACAGAAGAATGCTGTTATGAGTGCCATGCCAAATTAGTGAAATCTAACACTAATAACCATTACGGATTGAACTGTGTCTTCAAATAAGACATGTGGAAGGTCCAGGTCTCACCACCTCGGGCTGTGACCTCATTTGAACACGGGGCCTTTCCCAGAGGCATCAAGTTGAAACAAGATCTTGAGGGCGGGCTTCAGTCCAGCATGACTGTCATCCTGAAGAGACGGAGGAATTACACACAGAGACAGAAACAACACATACACCCACCCTGGAAGGGCACCAGGAGACGATGAGGACAATGAGCAAGGGGGTGAATTTACAATTCAGGATATCAGAGATGGCCAGCACATCACCAGCAGCTCAGAGATAGGCAGGAAACAGATTCTCCCTGACAGTCCTCAGAAGAAGCCAATTCTGCCCACTGTCACGTTGGACTTCAGGCCTCCAGAACTGTGAGACGATAAATTTGTTTGTGTTTTGTGTTACGCCAGTCCTAGCGAACACAATGAACGTCACGGTAAAATCCAAACGTAACACATATAAACCAGTAACATATATATCTCCAACTGAAATTCACAGGATCTCTACAACTACTAGGCAGCTATAGCACATGATAGAGAGCTGCTCTGGAGGATGATGCTAAAGATAACATTTAAAGACGGAGGCAGGGATCCAGACATTTATAGGAGATAGTCAGGAGTACTGGAACAACATCCAACATTTATTTTAGCTGGCACTCTAAATCACAAAGCATTTCAGGAACAGAGCAAACAAATTCAGCTTTCAGGTCCCACTATATGACACATACCATGGAAAGATCAAAACTACAATGAATACTTTAATATGATTTTGTACAAAACACATTACCATAAAAGACACATTACCATGAATGGTGGGATAGGTGTGTGTGAAGTGAGGGGGCAGCATTTTGGATATTTTGAGCATTAGTAATGGTAATGTGTCTTTTACTGAAATAAAATCTTTAAGCACTTTTTAGTATATATGAGCTGCCAAAACGAGCACACTTTCTTGCATTTTCTGATCAACTCTTGTACTGAGTAATTCTTCACCCTGATGTTGCCACCTTACAGCAAGCAAACACAGGCAGCTGGTCATCTCTGAAAGCACGTGAGTGGGCAATGGCTCCCTGGTTCTCCAGTGAGAAGAAATTAAATATTACATATGCCAGAAGGCTTGAAACTGCTTGAGAAATACTTACAAGACAAATTCAGAGCTGCTGGAGTAAAAACTATCAATTGTCCACAACTACCCCTCTCAGAGACTAAAGGTAGTTTAAACTCTTTCCTTTTATATAGGTATAACGCTGAAAATTTTCTCATCTCTAAGATTTCAATATAAATCTTCAAGTTAAGTGTTCCACAGTGTTATTAATTTATATTTGCATAACAGCTAACCACATCTTCTGTGGGCAGGCAGTTCCAAGAGTTTGATCTGTTTCTTTCTCGTGGAAGAGTACATTTGCTTCCGTTTGAGTCACAATTAAAACAAGTCAGAGTATATGGAAGAAACTTCTGTAATATTCAACACAGATCAAATCTTTGCAAGGCCTTCACTATGTACAGGCAATAATGGTATACTAGTTAGGGGAAAATGGCTGTGAGCCAGACACAGCTAAAATAAACTCTGGCGCTAACCACCTGTGTGAACACAGCACGTGACCTCTGCATATACCATGACTCTGCGGTCCAAAGGAGATGATGACAACATAACCCATGACTACAGTAGTGTGAGGACTAAATAAAGCAAGGGTATTACTGCACTTTAAACAAAGTGGTTGTTTAATAAAGGGCATTTAACCTCATGTTATTAACCTTAAACTCACAAGTATGTTTTATGCAGTAGAGTACTACTATGTTCCCCTAGGAAAGGGAAAAACATGGGACACAAGCTCTGATAAAACTTGCTCAGCCATCAAGACTATTACTCTGACATTCTATAATTCTCAAGCAATTGGTTAAGTCATAAACAGCCCTTTGGGATTTGTCTAGTTTTCTATTCCCCATAATACTGGTTTTTCATTCAAATAAAAAATCAAAATTTTAACAGCTTTCAAAGTTAATACTATTATTTTTAACTAATAGTATTTCTGTATTTCTTTACCTACATATGTTCTTCCATAAGGAATAATTTTGAAGAAATATTTCTTTCATTTTCTAAACTTAAAAATCGTGAAAAACCTAAGATTATTGTCCCAAAATAGCCAGATTACATAAATGAGCACATATTCAAAATTTCCAATTATGTGTTTACATTGATCCTCCACAGAATCTTCTTTTGCTTCTTTTTTACTTAATTTAGGCTAAAAAAAAATCACTTCTTCTATAAAGACTTACTAAAAGATGTAACACAGATGGTTTACAAAGATCACTTTTCAGTATCACTTGGTAAGGTTATTAAGGCTTATGTGTCCTGTGGTTATTTCAGAAACAGCATTGCATTTTCCACAAACTACACACCAGTAAATGTGGATTTCTGTTCTTACTCGGTAAGGGGGAAGGAAAACACCCATCCAAAACATACGGCAGTGAGAGTTTTAAAAATCCAAATCTGTGTCCTGACCCAGAACAGCCATGGGGAGGGGAAAACAAGGAGGAATCAAGAGTGGCTTCTCTGTGGGAACAGATGCAGATGATGCCAACGACGGCAGACAGAAAGAAAAATTTGCAGCTTTTTTTAAAAACTAAGTGACTTTTGAAATATGAAGTAAAAACTCAATTTAAAAAGACATCAAGAATGGTGTACATTTGTTTCTTGTCACATCATTACTCTTACACCTAACACTGAATATCCATGTGGGAATAATCCCATCATTCCCCTGGAAATGAACTGTCACTAGAGGGTTCCAACTCCACCAAGAAAAAGAAACTAAGCTGGGTGGAGCAGTTAAACAGAAAGAAACACTGGACAAGCCTGTGAAAGCTTACCAGCAGGACAACCCATTGCACTGGCTCTCACATTTTTTTATAAAAAACAAGTGAAAAGGCTATTTTATATCGATTACTTAAACATGTTGCTATTCAGTATTAAGAGAGCAGATACAATTTACATATTAAAAAAATAATGAACTTACTTGCTCTTCCCTTTGTAAACTGTAGCATAAGATCCTTCCCCTAATTTTTCCAGTTTTTCATATGAGTCAGCTTTTCCAAATTTGGGACTTGTTGGCTAAAAGTGAAGCAGACAGAGGGTAAGCAAAACAGATTGTATCATATTAATTAACAAAATAAATACTCTGATTTTACTGAAAATGTACAGATTCTCTGTCACTTGTCAAATAACTTTTTTCTAAGTTGAGAATATTTATTTTTAAAAACATAATAAACAGAGTATAAAATCTAATATCTGCAAATGAACACATGTAAAATTAAATTTACCCATAATCTAACCAAGAAATCAAATATTTTGCTATCTCCCCCAGTGTTACCTTGCTGATAACTGCTTTTTCAGTTTCACAAGCTGAGATTTCACTATACATACTGTCTTGCATTTGATTCTGTTTTTTACTTTAGAGCCAATATATCATAATCATTTCCCAGGTGATAATTCTCTAAATTTAGAACTAACCTACCGCGATCAGTGGGTCAAATCTAGCTACCACCTATGTTTGCACAGTTTATAAATTTAGGATGGCTTTTTAGGTGGCTGTATAAAAAAGATAACATTTCATATTATGTGAAAATTATAGGCAAACTGAACTTTAGCAACCATAAAGTTTTATTAGAATGATCATGCTCATCATTCACACACTGTTCATGGCTTTCTAGATATAACAAGGTTCTCACTGAAATGAAGCTCATAAGACAAAGCTGAAAATATTTACTATTTCACTCCTGGTGTAAATCATGGCTGCATATTATTCAATCATAGAGAGGACCTTTTCCAACCTTCTAGAGATAATACAAATAGATAATCAAAGGTGCATCCTTTGCATATTATCACATAAAATGGAACTCCCTTGTGTGTACATAAACCAATACTTAAAGCTGAAACAAAATTACTCCTCAAGATTACGATACACCATGACCAAAAATGTAGGAAGAGTGGCTTTTGCGGTGCTCAGTTCCTAGCCAACTTCAACCATGGAGCAATAAAAGATGCATATTGCCCTCCACGGAGCAGAAACATTCAGTGACACTATAAAAGGGTGACTCCAAAACATGACTGAGTTACAACTACATAAGCAATTCAAACCATCTCACCAGAGGCATTATCTAATCACAGTACATAGGTTATTCATAGAAAGTTACTAAAGCTCATGATAATTCATAAATAACCAACTTTAAATTTTTAGAGCATGTTGGCAGTACATAATGATTACATTTATCTTGGGGAGTTGGTATATAACCATATTCATCTTTTTTTTTTTTTTTGGCCCCTTTCCTTCTTATCACTTCCTATTCCAACTCTTATTTCCCTTCCTATTTGGAAAAGCTCTAGTTCCACTCTTTTTTTTACTCTGCTTTTAAATTCCTTTTCCTTTCCCTTCCTTCCTTCTTTCCCTCCTTCCTTCCTTCTCTTCTTTCATCTCTTGATCTACTTCTCATCTGAAAAATATCTCCCTACTTTCTCTTTTTATTTTTCTCTTTATTTACATTTTTAATTTCTCATATAAGAAACTATGCAATATTTACATTTATGTGTCTGATTTATTCCACTTAACAATATGGGCTCAAAGTGTATCCATTTATCTACAAATGCCTCAAGTTTATCCTTCTTCATGGCAAAGTAGTACTCCATTGTGTACAAAATAATAGTATTTAATACCAACTTCAGAAGTTTGATAAAGGAACTTTTTATAAAGTCCAGAGAACCCTAGTCTTAAAGCAGGACACTACTTTTGGGTGTGCTCCTGAACCATTTATGTAAAAACACAGTATCAAGGCAATGATTTGGACTCCCATCATTTTTAAGGAGTCTATTTGGCAGTTTAAATATATACTCATCTCTTTCTCACTCAAAATTCCATATGGTGACTGAAAAGACATCTGTCAAAAAAAAAACCCAGAATCAGAAAAGGAAAAAAATGTCAATATCTAATAAGAAATTTTGAGGAAAACTTATAAAGAATCAGCAACAAAACTTCAGAGCAAAGCCCTAACATTAAGGGAAGAGGACAGAGAAGCCAGATCTTATGAGTAAACACAACACTGGTCAATACGGGGAGTCGATGGGGTCTTCTCAAGCAGGCTATAGGGACAACAGCAAGAGGAGACAGCTGAGATTGCAGTATTTGGGACAGAGAGGTAGAGCAAAGACTTAGTCAACACGCAGAGAAAAGGCAAGGTTTCTCTGTCCCCTGAACAGTATGTACTGCCTCTTTCACACAGTCAACAGAGATAAATTAGAGAAAATGGAATAAGCTATGGGTGATTCTTGAAACACAAAGATGAGTGTACAACCAAAATCACTAACATTTCAGGAAAACTGACAGCCTGAATGAAAAGCATCAAATTTAATGGGCAGGTAAATTAAAACCCAGGAAAGTGAATTCAGAGTGCTGTGTAAAGGTAAGCATAACTTTGAATTTGAAGAGATCACAGCCTTCAAAGTATTAACGCTGGCTGGGGACATAGCTCAGTGATGGAGCACCTGCTTCTCAAGTGCAGGGCCCTGGGTTCAATCCCAGCATTGCCAAAACATAAAATTACATTTGAAAAGGAACAACTGGAAATCTTAGAGATTAAAAATTTATTCAGTAAAATGAAATATTTAATGGGCAGTAAATAAAACAATTAACATACCTGTAAAAATAATAAATTCAACCTTTGAAATGAATTCTCCCACAAAACCTGAGTTACTGTATCTAAGTAAAACAATTATTCAACAAGCATATTTTTACAGACAACCCTGGCTACCAAAAAACCCCAAAATTTTCATAATTAAAAGAGAAAAACTTTACATTACTAATATATTTAAGTCACTCAAATGTGCAATAAATACAGGGTAATTTTACCCCGCACTGGGAAAAACATCTAGAAAGTTCCATATTGTCACAAAATAGAACTTGTTTGGACTGATGGAAAACACACAGGAAGGCAAAAACTCGCAAAGAAGAAATAATATCATGTTGAGATTTCTTGACTCCATCAGGACAGACTTCATACACTAACTCCTGAGGCACAAATTTTAGTATGTTTATAAACTCTTAAAAGGCAGTCACTAGATTTATATAAATAAAATGCACAAATTTCAAGCAAATAAAAGACAACAGAATAAAGTAAAAAATGCAATAAAGGGAGAAGGAGAGGAGTATGAGGAATAGTTCATAATAGAAAAACCACACTAAGAGAAATATCATCAAATAAAAAGGAAGTTGATATAAACATATCAATAATTACAATAAACATAAATGAATCAACTTCCTCTCAAGATAAAAGCTCAGTTTAAAAAGCAAGGAGGATCCAGAAATATGCTACTTAGAAGACACAGAATTAAAACAAAAGAATTAATCTAAAAATAAAAGAACAAGGAGAAAATACAGCTAAAAATATTTTTTGAAAAGAGTATGAAACATATTGATAGACAATATAAAATTCACAAAACAATAAATGAACTTGCTATTTCTCACAAAAATGAATCTTAAATCTAAGAAATGTAATAACCATAAACTAGTACATAGCTTTGAAATATATGAAATCATAAAATGAGAATTCATCAAATCTACAGTGATAACAGTAGACAAACATTGCTTAATATTAACAAAGCAAGAAGATAACCAATAAGTAAAGAACATATAAACTTGAGTATCAGAATGAGCATTTTACTTTAATATATATTAACACATGCTTATATTCATTTTAAGCACACATTTAACATTAATTTTAAAATGATCATAAACTAGGCTATAAAATCTCAATACTGAAAACTACAGAAACACTGTGGTTCAACTTCTTTTTCTGAATGTGATGCAATAAAATTACACATTAAGAGTAATGTTAAAGTATACTGAATTTGAGATTATCTCTAAATGAGTAGACTACAGCTTTCCTGCAAAACAATATGTTACTATAGGAACACTTTCATCTTTATATAACACAATGTTGTTTGCTTTAAACATATATAAAATTCATTTTTTAAAATTATAATAATAAAAAGAAAGTGAAACAATTCATCATCAAAAGTTAAGAACATAATGCTAAATGAAATAAACCAGACACATGAGCTTAAACACTATATGATATCTCTCTTTTGAGTGACATGTAAATAAAGAGCAAAATAAAAGACTGATAAAAGAAAACAGAAATATCATTTGCAAACAGAAAAGGGTCCAAGAGATGGGGAAGGGGGAACTAGGAAGTAGAAAGATTTAAGATGTGTCACGTACATGTACCATATACTTACAATGAGTGTAAACACTATATATCATAAACATGAATTGAAAATAATAAAAATAACAATGAAAATGGGGAAAAGAAATCTAGAGATGGAGAGAGTTGGGAAGGAAAGGAGAATAAAAAAGAATCAAATCACCCTAAGTACATACACCTACTACCTAAGATGCATGTGAACATCATGTACTGCAAATATGTACTAATAAAGTAAAATTTTTAAAAGTGGTGAAAATAAAGTTATATGAAAGCCAAAAAAGAAAATCAAAAGTGAAAATTCATGAGTAAACATGAAGATATAATATTTTAGGACCTCTGGAATGTATCCAAAATTTAAACATATATACCTAGTATGTGATTTAAACTTTTAACTGTAGCTAGAAAAAGAGCTAAAATGATCCAGTAAAGAGATTTTAAAATGAAAAACATTCATGTAGTATGAAGAAAAACATAAAAATGATCATTAAAGCTTAATGCTATTTGCAAAGACGATTAAGAGACAACTCTCTGTAGCTTAAAATAAAAGCAAACCAAATAAAGATTAAACATTCAAAAGAGATGATTACTCAGTAGAAACAGATCTTCTATTGCAGTAGCTAACCTAGAATTGCATGTTTAACTTTATACCAAAATACTAAAAATTTAGAAAACATACATTGTCTGTTGAAGTATCATGTACCCAAATCTACTCCTGCAAAAATCAAAACAAAATAAGCTACTTATACTAAAATTTAGCTAACAAATAATTACTAAGTTGTAAAAAGCAGATACCCTACTGCATCATAAAAATATTAACTGCTACCAAATAAATTTCTGAGATTAGCATAACTCTAAAAT